TGGCCATGATAAACTCAGATAGCCGCTCACCCTGTTCGTTCCATTCTAATCCGTGGGTCCCAATCTGACGTTCTTCAGACGTTCTTCTTGGTCCAGTCTTAGCGTTGAAATCTCCATGTTGACCTTGAAGAATGTATGGTCTTCTCTGCAGAGCTTCTTCAAGTCCATGTGGAATGCTTCAACTTCTTCTTCGTCATAGCTTGATGTCGGGGCGTAAACGACGAAGATTGTCAAAGCCGGTATTGATCCATGTTTTTTTAATCGTAAACGTCCGATTCGGTTTGTAAGCTGTTTGAATGAATCGATGTTCATAGACAAACTCGTGTTGACGAGAACGCCGACGCCGCCGACTCTTCTACTGTCGCAAGTTCCGAAGGACAGTTCTTCTCCGGAGTCATGTACGGCGTTGAATGGATGGCATCGTCTCGTTTCGGCCAGGCCGATGACGTTGTACTTTATCCTTCTTGCTTGCATGAGTCTGAGTCTCTATCGAGGACTCGAATGCAAGTGTACGTGCACTATAGGTACAGACCGTCACCATAGTTTTTGAAATCGAGACAGTTTCCATTAGTCCTAAGATTTTGGCAGCCTCTCCGTACTCCTCCTACCCAACGCTGCGAAATTGGGGGCTCTTGCGGGGGTCAGTGGAATGAGGCTCGTTTTTTTTTTTTTACTGTGTTTAGCATTTTTGATACCCATGTATAGCTTGCTGGGCTCTGAACGTGGGGTCTGGTTATACTCACGGGTAGATTGCCAGGCTCTACCAGTGTGGACATGAAGCTTATTTGTTGAAGGCGATTCCTAACCGCCTCGCATATACTTCCCAGTCACTTGATTGCAGGCTTTTGGCTGAATTGAATCGTAGAATACAATCCGCATTACCAAGAACGCACCCACACACGCATGCATCAATACGCCTAGCAAATACTGAAACTATTGCCAAATCAGCGTAGCAGAAACAGGGAGTCCATGCCCTGGGTCCACCTGCGTCTCAGGGAAGCAAAGGTCGCTTTTGGTCCGCAATTAACCCCCTGTCCGCCACCTGGGGATGCTCCACGTAGCCTCGCGACTAACCGGCTCAAGATCCCTCATAGGAGGAAGATCCATAGGGGTTAAACAATGTATAATATAATATAATGCTTCATGAGTTAGTTAAAAATGCATAACTTGATTAGTGGCCTTCATGGACTTCGCTTCATGTGGTCGACATTGGAAAGGCCTGCTTCGTAGGTACAAATGTGAGCCCAGTTTATTTGGTTTTTGAATAATCAAAGTACATATTTACTGATTTAACAATGTTGTATGTTTTATCTTTATTTACTGCCTATTTTTATTTCATGATAGGGTACCATGTGGAATATAACCACGATAACGCTGAGATGTGAGCAAAACTCGCCACCTCCGTTGGGTTTCAAACTCGGATTACTCTTTCCGGAGACTCACGTGCCATTCACCACAACACATACTGCGAAAGGTGAAGTAGTATCGTACTTGGTGTGGAGGATAGTACGCAAATCCACGGAAACCGTAATTGTAGGTTGGTAACACATCTGAGGTCCCGAGTTTTGCTCATATCTCGGCATCATTGTGGTTCGACTCACTGACTCTTCAATAAACAGTTCGAAAAACTTTCCTGCTCCCTGATCCCTCCTTTTGGGAGATTTGTCTTCAGAAGCTCGCTTTTTGACAATTGTAGTCTATTTTTGCTAACTGAAGATGCTTGAGGTGTCGACCGCTCGACGACCTCATAGAAAACAAGACTTTTCATCGCTCCAAGACTGTGCACAGTGCCTATAAAGCATCAGAATTATGTTAAATCCAGCAGAAATTTGAGTCCGGAAAATGTGAACATAAACAGAAAAACTGTGACGCTTCACAAAGGAGGAAAAATTCTCGAAACCCACGACATAATCCGCAGACCATCGTGTAGTTCTGAGTGAAACCCCGGTGGTTTAATCAACGTTCGCGCATGCTGTTGTCGACGAGAAAAAAGAGAAGGAAAAAAAGAGAAGTCCAGGAAATTGAAATTTCATTCTGACAGATTAAACTGGCTTTCGCCTTGTTTGCAATGATATGCCATGAATTTTGCTCCAGCTAATAAGGTTAATCATCGAGCCAGTATGTCTTGTTTGAAGCTGAAAGTCTAAACGAAATTGTTCACAAGCGATAATATTTTGACAGAATGTGTTGCGCTGCTTAACTTCATGCATTAAATGAATTATTTAAGTGTACATATATATGTATATAGCCACAAGATGCTGAGATATTTACAAAACTCCGGACCGCAGGTGTCTGCGGTGGGGAACGATCGCGCTATCACTCTATCCGGGGGCTAGCGCGTTCACCACCACGCCATGAAGGGCCCTTCGTTTCGCCTGTCTCTCACCTTGTTCTATCTCTCAGCGTCAGCATAACTAGGTTTAATGCCGATGTGGGCTCCCCAAATCAATCTCGTTGACACGTGATTGCTGATGGCTCTGATCGATACAACCAGCTGAGAGAAAGGCGAGACGAAGGATCCGTATGGAGTGGTGGTGAACGCGTTAGACCACGAAAAGGGTAATAACGCGTTCGTTCCCCACCGCAAACACCCGCGGTCCGGAGTTTTGCAAATATCTCAAGATCTTGTGGCTATATTTCATATTATATCCTGCCGTAGAAATTGTAGTAGGCTCAAAATAAAAAGTAAAACATTATATAGAGATATATTTTTGTTTCTCTACGACCCATCTTTCACATCTACTGTGCGGATCCGAGCACTTTTCACATTCCATTCGTTTCCTCTCATTCATCATCCACGAAGGTCTTCCAGCTTCTTATTACACATATAGCTTCTGCTGTTGTTTGAGGATTTTCATTTCATCTCGGATTCCATATGATGCTGGTTGAGTCGAGTCTCACTGAAGTCCTGAGATAGCCAGGCTGTAGTGTTCCCAACTGAATTGCAGAAAGTGGTTTTTTCCGGACAATTCCGATCCCAATCTCCCGACCCCGGAGTGATGAGGCGCCAGGTAAGGTCGGAGCGGGATCGAACCAGTACCGTGCTCGTGATGACCGGCATCATTATCACCTTTATGCATGTATATGCATATATGAATATACGTTCCTACTTAATATATGCATACAAAGTCCGTGTAACGAAGTGGTTGGAGGTGCCCCACGATACTGAAGTGGTCGGTGGCTCCATCACGGTCACCGGGCTCACCAGCTCGTCCACCCATCAGGGGTGGTCAAGTTGGTACATGGCTTGTAGGGAACGATAGCAGCACTGACTCGATATATCGGCAGGCTACCGCAAGCCATTTTATACTCCACATATGCATTCAATCTCTTCTAACGATCTTAGTAAAGTCGAATGAATGGCCCATCCCTTAGAAATGGATCAACGCCGAACACTTTATCCTTACATATATATATATATATATATATATATATTTATATTTATTCACATATACGTTTTATATATACCCGAAGTTATCCATCAAAACCGCTTCAATATAAACTACAACTCTGTTGCGAAGCAAAATGACACTTCCAGCTCATCAGTTGGACGAGCTGGAATGACTGCCTTTTTTCAAATTTATTTTTGCATGCCTACCCATCGTTTCACCGCCACATCGTGGCTGTGAGGTGTTCTTGAATGTCGGGCTGCGATGTATAGTGGAGGATTCGTCCACTCAGCAGTGTCTTCGAAGCCGAGAAGTAGTACAGGGTTTTCATCAGGAAACTTAGCTAAGATTAAATCCCCCTCTGATCCACTAAGGCAGCGACTACTTGTGGTGGTGACGACCTGAGGTTGACTCTAGCTAGGCTGACCTCGGGACTCCAAGGAAACACAGTGGTCAAGCCAGTCAGCAAAACTCCGAAACAATGCGCACCACCAGTGAAGACGGGCCATCCAAATATCCAAATATTTTTGAGATGACCCGTTATAACACTTACTGTGCGGATCCCAGCACTTCTTGTATTCGATTCGATTTGCTCACATCCGTCATTCACAAAGGTTTTCGTACAATTTGCATATCGTTGCTGCTGCTAGCTGAGGATTTCCGCTTCCTTATGAATGTCATGGAATGAGGATCGATTCGATTCTTCTTGGCACTTACGAGACACTCAAGCTAAGGCGTTCTCGCGTAGATTGAGGGAGTGCGAGGAGTGGTGGGCGGTCGGATCAGTGCCATGCTTCCTGATGGACTGCATTACTAATCACTGCAGTATCCTTTACCTACCTTCCGATCATCACTGGAGCCACACGACTAGGCCTGAAGAGCAAGGGACGATTGAGGATGCTTCTGGCCGTCTGACATACAAAGGTAACATCGCAGTTGTGAGCAATGTTGCTTCTTTATTAGATTAATTTGCACTTCACACGAACCTATACAACAGATGGACGATTCGTCTATTCCTAGTACGACGTCGGTGCACGACTTGGCTGACGAGCGTCAGAAATGAACGCTAACAACTGCGCTCTAGTGCCACCGTTCGCCCCGCCGTAGTCGCGACGACGCGTCACGGGCTCGTTGGTGGCAGCCATCGGCCAACTGCAATCAGGGCTTTCCGTCATGGGCACCCACTTCAATGTGGCTCATAGGCTTGTGATACAGTTGTGCTTTACCTTCCCAGTTTACAGCAGTTCATTTGCCTTTTGACCACATCAGAGTTGCTGGGACGCTTTTGTTCTTGCAGTGCTTAGCTTCGGAACCTTTTCCGGCTTTGCCTTATGTTAACCTCCTAGAATTAGAAGACCTGAGTGTTAAATTCATAAAATGCAGGAGTTAATTTTTTCTCGCTTTCCACTGCTATCAAAATCACTATATCTCTACTTTATTTCCCCTAAAAGGTCAAATTTGGCACCGTGATGGCGTTAATCTCTTCCTTACTTCATCGAAAAGGCTAAGTGCTGAAGTCTTGCCTGAAGTGACTCTACCAGCGTTCATTTCTGATTCAGAAATCTTCCATTGAAGGTGTACTTCGCTTCGTTATTACAGTTTCTTGTCGTCATGACGTCTACTTCGCCTGTCGCCACTACTCCTGCTGTTGGCTCTCCTCAACAGAACAGCTTCCATCCGTCGTGGTCCGTCTTATTTACAAATATTGCTGAATGTATCTTTCTGTGAACGACTTGTAGTAGTGGTCTGTTTTCCAGGATGCGTTCAGTCTTCAATGGCGGGGGGAGTGGAACTCCTACTCGTTCAACAAAAGCGGTAAAACTTTAATAACTTGGAAAATTTGTTCTGTTCTCACAAATATAGTTACTTTTTTAGTGGTTCTCAAAATCTATAGTACAGAATGTATTGTGAAGTCTGTGAACCTATGTAGGGACGCGTATGGCGCAGTGGTCGGAGGCGCCGTGCAACATACATGGCATCGATCCTGGCGCACCTGGTCCGCCAAGCCTTTCATCCCTTCAGGATCGACAAATTGGTATTAGCCTTCTCTGGGAGGACGACAGCATTGGCTGGATATATCACTAGGCCACCAGGAGTCCATTGTAAAGGCCAGATATGCATCCAATCACCTCAAACGATGTTTAATGAAGTCGAATGCATGGCGTATTTCTCAGGGATTGATCAACGCCAAGAGCTTTATCCTTTATGAACCCATGTTGTTTTCTACCAAATTTGACTTCGATGACACTCTATTTCTCAGGAGTTCAAGTGATTTCCTTTAGAATTGGATACATTGCTGTTTTGTTTTTTTCTTGCATGAGGATAGCCTTATTCACAGGCAGCGGATAATTCCGCTTCTGCTCCTGTTTTTGTAAAGAACCGTTATGGACGTGAGGACATGTTAGCACTAATGGGCGATGCGGCTGGTCATCCTGCTCCTGAAGGTCTTCGCGATTGTCCATTCTACGTCGAAGAAGCCCTTCAGCCAATTGTCTGTTACCCGCTGTCCGATCTGGAGCAGGTATAGCATTTTTCTTGCGATTTATGATTGTTCCACTGCTTTATTATCTTTGGTCACGGTTCAGAATTGCTAGCCATTCATGAACGCTTTACCATTAGAATTGGTTGGAGTTATAGAGTTAGTCGGCAAGTACTTCTAGTCTGAATGTGCGTGTTCGATTTCATTCAGGGTGATTATCTTATGTTCGTATTTCTTCGCTTTGCCTCTGCTTATTTAGCACGATTTTTATGTGCAAACTTATCAGCAGTCCTTCAAGTTGAACAAAAAAATTGGCAATACACGGGGAAACACGAAACGTGATTAAGACTTCACGTAAACCTCAACATTGAATGTCTCGCTTCTTTAACTACTGTCGTACTTCTTGCTTACTTGGAAACTTGGGCGACCTGTCCTCACTGGTTGTGCAGGCCCCAGCATTTTCTCCATTTTTCGGAGTTTTGCTGGTCTAGCCATTGTGATTCCCTGGAGTCTCAAGGTCAGCATGGCCAGAGTCTGCTTTGGGTCCTCACCACACGCAGTCGCCGCCCTTGTGGATCAGAGGGAGACTTGCCACCATACTAGTTTGATACTAAGACAGTGGTGGATCCTGGTATCGGTTTACTCTTAGCTGGGCTTCCTGATGGGAACTTGGAACTTCTTCTTAGCTTGGGAGACGCTTCTGGGGGGATGAATCACTCCGCTATAGATTGCAGCCCGACATCCAGAAACACCTCCCAGCCACGATGAGGCGATAAACCGTTAGGAGGCTGTCGTACTTCGTAGATCCATAGAACATGTTGCCGCTTATTTCGCTTGGAGCAGAAAATTGGGTAAAACTCAAAATTTAGAATGTGTCTGTGAATGAGGCTTATCTGTTGCAGCGCCTTCAGCAAAACATCAACTCTTCAAAAGCGATGGCATCGCTCTCGCATGCAGAGCGCGCCAACATAGCAACCGGAGCAGCCTATTCTGGTTCCACCGACGGTGGTACTGCATGCCAGAAAGCAAGCACTGGAGGATGGACTTCTGTGAAACAATGGAGTACGTCTTTAATTCTTCCTTAGGTGAACTGCGGAATAAAGATATTTTATCAGTTCTCTTAATCTTTTAGACCGCAACCACCCAAATACAGGAAGTGCAAGAGGAACTAGTTTTTCTCGTGTATACGGTTCATCTGGTCGAAATACTACTCGTGGAGATGGTACGAACATCAGTCAAGACCACTCCCAGTTGAATTCTTTTGGACAAAGATTTGGTACGTTGGTTTTCTACCAAATGGGGAAATGTTTTGCTTGCATTAGTAAGAGAGAATCGACGTAAAAGTCTTAGACAGTGAAAGTTTTATGTGACAAGTTGACTACTATCAACAAAGAAGTTTTAGCATATTGTCCCTTCCTTGTGTTTTTGAAAGGGCTTGTCTTAATGTCTCCCCACAGATATAAATATATTCCTCACTGATGAATATTACTTCATCGAAGAAATCTGAACAATGCATTGTATTAAATAAGGTGCAGTCGTTCCTATGTGAATCTTGACTGTTTTATATCTTTCTGAGAGCAAACCCTTAGCATGGATGTTTTGCAAACAAAAGATTTAAAATTGAGAAAAGTGAGTTGTCGTTTAGTAATATTTTAAAGAAGAGGGACTCATTTCTGGATGACCTCAATTTCCCAATGTTGTGCCTATAATTTTAGCAACTCGTGGTCGTGGAACACTAGCATCAGCTCGAGGAGGTACTGTATCGGGCACCACCTTCAATTCGCGAGCTCAGGGCCTGTACGATCCTCGTGATCCAAAAGGTCTGCTTTTGCTATGACTCTTAGGAAGAACCATTATAGTTTCTTAAAGTTTACGTACTGCTTGTTTTTAAAAAATTGTTTAATTTGTTAACTTCTCTGATCTTTGTGGTTAAATCTTGCGTTAGAACTATTGCTGTTTGCCATTTCGGTGTATTTCTCTTCGATAATCGGACAAGTGAGAAAATATTCATTAATGTTGCAAAGATATGATTAAAGTTAAAAGATTCTTTCTGGAAAATGGGGTTGAACGTGAGATCGTCATTGACCACATTGAAAGTGTTATTTTATTTTCACTGACAATATTTTATGGCCTTGTTTCCTGTCCGTTTCCCAGGTGAGCAGTTGCCTTCGACATCACTAACTTTAAATTAATTCACTTATGTACGAATGTTATTTTACTGGAGTTTTTTCTTTGCGCCTTTTTAATGGCTGAACTGGGTTCAATTCCGATTTCTGCTTCCTAGATCATTCCCGTCGACGGGTGGCTAATGATAGCACCGATAGAGTGAAAAAACTGGCTGTGAGAAAGGCAGGACAAAGACGTCCGTTGGTGAGGTCGATAGCACGTGAGCCCCCGATAAGAGCAATCGTGGTTTCGAAGCCCATCTGAAGTCCAGAGTTTTGCTCCTATATCAAGATCCTTATGGTTGAAGTTCACATCGTACCGTGCCATGAAAAAAGAATAGGCAATAAATAAAAGTTAAAGCACTTCTAATAGCTTTCAATTAGACATTGGTCTAAATATTACCGCCTTGTTTCTTTTCTGTTCCTCTCGTGAGCAATTGTCTTCGATATTATTAACCTTTATTTTACAATTATAATTTATTAACAGATCGCCCTCGTCTTCGCATGCGGTCTACAAGTGATGAAGGCGACGTAGTTGGTGAAGGAAGTTGGACTACTTCTCCATCAGGAAGACATGGTTGGGGCAATGACAGTAAGGATTCTAGTCAAATCAACATGTGGTCTTCTGCGCAAGGTAGGATGGTGCTTACGTTTCTGATAGATCAGATAAAGTGGAAGCGTTCCTAGCGGTGTAGTTAGAGGTGCCTTGCAATACACACTTGGTCGTTGATTCGACACCATAACTCGCATTTACAAACCTCCAATCTGTGGTTTGGGAGGATAGAAAACATTCCCTAGATATATCAATAGACTCCGAGGGTTATGCATTAAATTACTTTTATAATGCTTAACAATTAGGGACCGAAACTGGCTTTTGGCAAACTACTGATAATCTTTCGAGTACTAAAATAATTGGAAGATTGGAAATGTCAGCCTTGTAGAAGAAATTTTGCTTTATCTAATTGAAAAGTGTGACTCAAACTTCCATTTGATTTTTTAAAGTTGCTTGGAATTATTAGATTAGTCAGAAACTAATGGCAGATTACAACCTCCATTTTAAAGTGACAAATCTCAGCTCTGGATAAACCTTATTGATGGAAATAAAAGCAATTAAACTCTTCAAATTTTGCCAGCGAGGAACATATTTTGTTCACGTCGATTCCTCAAAACTTTGCAGTTCTGGGGGCAATGAAACCGTTGAATGCAGGTTCGGCCTTGGAGTGGTTCCTGAAGTATTTCTCGAAATTATCGAGATGCTTGAAGAAGTGGTGTTCGGTAGGTGAAAAGTCTTCTAAGTATGGCGATGGAGGCAGAGTTTCGTAGTCAGCTTTTGCAACGTCAGTCGGAAGACTCGCCGCCGCGTGTTATCGTTTAGGAAAATTGCTTCTTTTCCATTGACGGATACGGAGCTCATATGTTGAGGTTTGTAGTACATTTCGTCGACTTACTAGGCATACTCCTGAAGTGCAATTGTTTTACCCGAATTCAGGAAGTCTCAGATTGCCAGAAGGTGGGTATGACCTTTTGCTGCAACTTCGGCTTTGGGAACTGTCAAATCATGGAGCTCATCATCACTGGTTATCGTAAAGGATCAAAGGATCCAGTTGTCGCTCCCAGCATCGTACATTCGAGAAAGTCGTTCCGGTTGAGGTGAAGAAGGCACTGACAATACCTCGAATCGGCGGTTTCTTTTATTGTCATTCAATTCGTGCGCCATCCATTTGTCGAGGTTCTCTCTCTTTTTAATTAGGTTGGATGCTTTCACTAAGTTCTCCTACGTGTTCCCGAACAGTCATATTTATATCTGCTTCCACCAAATACTACGTCATCGTCATTAACAGGACGACGTCCATGAGCTCCGTTACCTTCAAGATCGAATTAGCCATGGCTTGATTTTCGAAGCTAGCCATATGCAAGAAAAGTGAAATTACAAATCCAGTGCTTAGAACAACATGCTTTCCAAAATGAATGAAAGAAAAATTTGAGTTTTCCAAAACTTCTGAGATAGACTCCGCGGCTTAAACAAGAGCTTATTTGGAAATTTTATCCTCTTGTGATGATCGATATACTGCTTCCTCAGTTGCATTCATTTTAGAAGTACGGGCCTCAAAAAAAAGTGCTCGGAGTACGTTCGATGTGCTCCAGAAAATCAGAATTTCGTTATGGTCAGACAAAAAGCCTTTATCCTGCAGACTAAGATTTGCACATTCTAATGCTTTTTATTACAAGTAGTAACATTCACGTCCAGCTGAAAAATGTTTGTTTCAAGTTGAAAGCAGCTCATAGTTCTTCGCCCTATGAGTTTATATTAATTCACATCGGTCTCGTGATAGAGTAGAATGGGTGGAGTATCCTTAACAATTGAGCTACGCCAAGTGATTTATGTTTTAAGGTGAAATGGCATTAAACATTCAAATTTGCATTACGTTTAGTGTGATGTACCTTTTTGCTTAATACTCATTATTCCAAAAATAACTTTCAGTAGATAACCGTAAACTTCGAAGGTTGATTCCGCTTCCTATTTGCTAGGTGATACCGCTTCATCAATTAGTGAAGTTCCCCAAGAATCTTTGCGAAAGAACGAAAGCGGTCTAATGCCTGAATGGATGGAAGACGGGGAAGATCAAGACAAAGGGTCAGCGCGATTTTTCAGTTTTGTTCTTTATCTTTGTCTCAGAGACTGTGTTATAGTTTTTCCTAGTGCCCACTGATCTGTACACAATTAGCCTGTTTTCTAGGGAATCTGGAGATGATACCATTAGCGCGACTGGCTCATTTGATGAACATGGACGTTTTCGAAAAAAGGTTAGAGTGCTTACAAAGCCCTTCCTGCCTTAATATGGGAGCACTTGCGTCATATTTGAATTCTTTTTATTTTTCGTGGGAACCCGATATAGCTGTGCTAGTTTGTTCCAGATGTTTACAAGAGGGAGCATTAAGCTTTTATTGAATAAAAAGAGGTTTACTGGTTTTCAGCTAGAATTTTTAAATGCCGCTAACCTACTTGTGATTAGTCGACATACCCATTGGAAGGGCGTACCCGAATCAGATCAATATCTTATATAGGAACGGCTGAGAATCTTAACTACCGTTGGAGGGTTCGGCTTCCATTTCTTATTCAACATGGCGTGCTCGACATATTATTCTCAGAACGTAAGCTGAAGGTGACAAAGTGTAACCTGGGTCAATTCAGCATTCTAAAAATAGCTACCATGTGTATTGCTGCCACTATTGGAATACCCACATTGGTGGGACCAAAAGAAATTTGAACAACCAGACATTAACACATTCGCGGGAACACCAATTTTTCCGTGGCACTTGCCTGGATTGTCGCATAATTTTCCTCCGCAAATCGCATGCATTGAAATCGTTTCATGTCGGTCAAGTTGCACTATAAGGAAGACATCAAATATTTTGCTGATTAGAAACAATTTTCATTGTTACGTTATCTATAGGGTAGACAAACAATCCCTCAACACGTTTTTAATTCATGATATATGAAATGTAGCTTTTCACGGATATAGTTGCTGAAAGTATGCAATGTTGAAGATATTGTTTTAATAAAATTGTCGTATTCCGAGAAGTTGTAGCCCAAGAAACAATGGGAGGGAAGGGGCATTTCTCTGTGGTCGCAATGCATGAGCGTATTCCTATTTTATATCAACTCCGCTACTTCCACTGTGTTTTGCTTCAGTTTGAAGTGTGCAGTGTCAAGTGCAAAATTTAATTATATTCTTGATTAGTGTTTCTGTGCTGGGTGGGGATAACGCTGTGGTTAGCGATGCTGTGGCTCAGGAAGCAAAAGCGCTAGTTCGATCTCCGCGCCAACGCTTTCCTTCAGTCGATGTGAGAACCCCATAACCTGTCTCTCTCCAAGATCGCAAGGAGACTCGACCAGCATTCTACGACATTAAAGATGAAGTGAAGGTCCGCAAACATCAGCTGAACCCACGTGTAAAAATTGGAATTCCTTTATGGATGATTGATGCGAGGAAACGAATCGATTATGAGAAGTGCTGGGATCCGCACAATAGACGTGAGGACGAGTCGTATAAAATATAGGGTTAAATAAATTTTTATTTTTTTAGAGAAATAAAGATTTTTTAGAGAGGCTTTTTATGCAAAATTATGTAAACTTGCAGTGAAGTTATGCGTTGACTTTAGTAATTATTGTTTGTACTGAGTTTTTTTTAGCACCATGGTCCTCTTGATCCATCTGAAGAGAAAACTCCTGGAGTGAATAGAGATAGGTTTGTCATATAACCTGTTTCCTCGTTTCATTTCTACATGGTGGAGATATTTCTGTACTTTGTAACGGTTTCGAAAACTTGCCCTCCAAGGAACCCATGTTTTTGACGATTGAGTTACTGTGTTCTTAGTGTTCTTCATGTGATGACACAAAGCAACGTTTACTTCACAGTGGCTAAGTTTTGGACGTACTTCTTTGTTATCTTCAGATCGATTTCTCTGTCATTCACCCTTTCAATAAATGAGCGATTGTGATCCCAAGTTCATTCTGCGCTGATAGTCACACTTTTTAAAAAGTGGACGACAGAATAACAGCTTTGAAGAAGGCCTTTGTTAACTACCTCATCAAGAAGAGTTCGTGAGGACACAGTAACTGAATGTTTTCCATTCGATCTTCACTTTTTGGTATTTTCGAACTCTTCTCGAAGGATATGTAATTTAGATGTGAAAAACAGCAGACTACTAATGTGGAGAATTATAGTATAGTTTCTAGCATTGAGAAGAATGGTGCTTCTCAACAGGTAAACAGTTAAACGATTAGTAAGTGTCTTTGTTCCAAATATTCCTTTTTTAAATTAGCTCAGTGCCTTTGCAGATGTCTGGTGATCCAAACTTGTCATCTGCACAAACTCATGTTTTGAATAGTGACGCAGCGACTTCACATGGTTATTCCAACGTGCTATCTCAGGCCGAGGCTGTGGGATATCACCCATCTGTTCCATCTCAGCCAAGCGTAGGTACAGTTCCTACGGTAGTTCCAAATTCGATTCATCAAAATGCTTCACAATTCTTCTATCTTGATCCCACAAAACAGGAACGCGGCCCTTTCGAAAAGGTAGTTTTAAACATTTTTCTGGTTTTATACCATTGTTGCAATTAGTTTTAAATTACAGATGCAAATGGATAGTTGGTACAAACGTGGATACTTTACAGAAGCACTGGAAGTTCGTCGTCATCCTGAAGCAAAGTATCGAACATTAGGTATGATTTCACTCCATTATTTTTGTGCTGTTTAAGCTGCCTAGTTTCCTTGTTGTTTTAAAAGTTCGTTCTTATAGGTGAACTAGTTCAACTGAATGGCCAACTGACGCCGTTTGATTTTAAGGACGATGTTTCTTGTCAACCTTCAGTTACACCAGTTTTTTCTAATCCAGCTCCACCTTTTGCAACACTTTTTGCTTCCGGGTCCGTACTTTTTCTTCTGATGACGCTTCATTATGATAAGGATTGTGTGAAAAACGTAATTGCAGAACTGGAACTATGTGGAGCGAGTTAAGTAACCCTTCAAGCATGATTTATAACCAGGCTAGCTATGACCATATTGCAGTCGAAAGAAAGGTAGTTAATTTATTTCGAAATAAGGTGTAGTATTAAAATAGTTTATTTTATAGAGGATTGGGGATGAACAGCGCCGAATATTAGAAGAGCAAGCAAAAATGAGAGAGTATCAAGAACATTTAATAAGAGAAATGCAGAAACAGCGAGAAGAGCAAGAGAAGCAGTTGTTGGAACAAAAATTGGCACTGATGAAACACCAGGTTTGTTACGGTTAGGCTGTCTGTTTTGTTGAAATCTGGTCAGCCTGTTAAACTACCTACTCCTGTGCAATTTTTTACTATGTAGCATCACAATTGCTTGATGCCTACATTTTTGAAGATTATCATAACTTTACCATTTTGATAATCTCTTGATAGCATTTTAAGGAAGAGATTGAACGACGAGAGCGTGAGTTAAAAGAGTCAGCTGAGGAAACCAAAGCTCGGCTTGAAATGGAGCGACTTGCGCTTGCTGAGAAAGCTCGGCAGCTCGAAGAGGAACGTGTTGCGAAAATTCAGGTATTAAATAGTAGATACTTCGTTGATGTCAAATATTGTGTTTCGTTTCTCTACACTTTGGATAAAAAAGTCTGGCATTTGGTATACATATATATGTATGTATACATATATATGTGTGTATGTATACATATGTGTGCATATAAATGTACACATATGTGTGTATACATACATATATGTTTGTACGTGCGTGTTAATATATGTATACAATATGCATATTTACTGGGTATTTATGTATATCATACATACGTATGTATGTACATGCATGTATATATATATATATATGTATATATTTGCACATATAGCAATGTTTGGAAGAAGCTAGAAAAGCTGAACAAGCAGAAAGGAGGCGATTAGAGGAGAAAATGGAAAGGCAACGAAAGGTTGAAGAAACTCTCAAACGGCAACATGAAGTTGAAAAAGAAAGGTTATATCGTTTTATTTTCCTATTACTTAGGTTCCTAGAGTGTAATTACTAGTAGCTGGTTTGTTTGATTCCCAACCCTAACATTTATATGATTTGGCCTTACTTTTCGCGACCTCTTTGTTTTGAAAAACCTTGTGGGTGTTTTCTGATGTTGTTTTAAAAGTGGCAGTTGGTTCCCTACATTAGGATTACAGATCGTATCGTTTCCATCATAGTTGCATTTCTAAACCTAGAATGTTAGACGAGTGTTTTAAGCGTTCTCAAATACTACCTGTGTTGCGGGTGTAACTATTCCGTGTGATGTGACCGTCTTGTTTCTCACCGAAATTGGCCAAGAGCGAATTGTGTGCCTTGCGGAGTTGTGTATTGTAAAGGGGTAGTGTTTTCTTCTACTCCTTTCGTTTTATAGGCGTGCGAACGAGTGTGCTGAAGAGGAAGCTCGTCGTTTGGCGGCAGCAAACGCGGAAAAAATTCGTATTCAGCAAGCGGAGCTACATCGGAAGCAGGTTGTATTGAAATGCTAATTCTTTAAAGTTTTTCATAACGAGTTATGTCAGCTTCAAAAATCTTTTTGTTGTTTCAGATATTATTGCCATTATTACTACTTTTTATTATTACTTTTAATCAATGTTTGTTCTTTATTATTTGTTACGTTCACGGTAATTATTATCATCACCAATGTCAGTTATTATTATTATTGTTATTATTATTACTATTATTACTATTATGACTTACCTACCTACTTACTCACTTACTTGGATACTTGGACAGCTTGTCCTAACTGGTTGTGCGGGCTCCAGCATAATCTTCATTTTTTGGTACCGAGGTCAGCCTAGCCAAAGTCTGCTCCAGCTCGTCACCACCACAGGCAGTCACCGCCTTTGTGGATCACAGGGAGATTTACCACTATACGACTAATTTGGAACCAGACAGTGGTGGATCCTGGTATTGGTTGTTCTTAGCTAGGCTTCCTGATGAAAACACCGGACTCGTTCTCAGCTTGGGAGACCCTGCCAGGGGATGAATCCTCTGCTGTACATCGTAGTCCTACACCCAGGAACACCTCCCAGCCACAGTGAGGCGGTAAACTGTTGGGAGGATTATAATTATTGTTATTATTCTTATTGTTTTTATTATTATTATAGGTTATTAGTTGTCAAGCTCAAATTTTTATTAATATTATCATTGTTTGCTAATTGTTTCTATTATTACTCTTATTATGTTAACCTTTTATTTTTTGCTTAGTATAATTTTCATGGCAAGATATGATGTGAATTGCAACCAAACGATGCTGACTGAGATATTTGCTAAACTTGGACCCCGGGCTAGATCGAACCACGATTTCCTTCTCCGGAGGCTCGCGTATTGCACACTACGTCGCGGAGACCATTGCTCTGCGTTACTCTCATATACTTTTCTACCTAACGCTGCCCTCAGCAATCATCCGGCGGAGGAATTAATCTGGGGAGCACAAATCTCAGCATCGTTGTTGTTGCAAGTATTCTTAATATTCTTAACTCTTCTCGTTATTGCTGTTAATGATATTGTTGTCTATTTGTAATGGGTTTTAACAATATTGGACCAAAATTTTATATGTGGAGGAAACTGTCTATTGTACTCCTTCATATTATTAGTCTTGGTAATCTATCTCGCTGCTTATTAAGCGAATAGCGGAAGACAGTGTTCGTAAGAGTACAGTTGCACAGTCCAGTTCATTAAATGAAAAGGGAAAGAGTCAAGATTCTGCGAAAACCTTCGAAATTGAAGAAGTTTGGCAGGTAGAGGGTTTTAGCCTTTGATTACCATGTTCTTCGACTTTTTTGCGCTATTACCCTCGTGTGTTGAATGATTATCAGATTTCATTATTTCAGCCAGCTCCTAAGCCTTCACAAACGACTGTTCAATCGACAGAGCAGAGTAGCGTTGCATCTCCTCAAACGTTGAGATCTAGCTCCACTAAAGGTTTTCTTCGATGTGCTTTTCAAAGCTGTTCATTAAAAGAGACATTGAAAGTAGCTTATTTGTAAGGGTTAAAATCTAAGTGTTTTATAGTTGCGCCATGGTTGTCAGCATCTTCCATAGCTCCCATGAAGGAGAAGTCTTTGAAGGAAATCCAAGAGGAGGAGGAACGACTATTACGCGCAGAACAAACCCAACAAGCTCGATTACGAAAAGAGGTTAAATAATCACTTTGTTTCAGAACGAGTCACGCTCTTGTTATATGCGTATATTCTGTTTCGCGCTGATCTTACTATATCTGTAATCAGCAAGAATCCGTGAGCCTACAATCCAGTGGGACGTGGTCAAATGCTTCGCAACGTCTTCAGTGGAACCAACCACAGCAACAGTCCTCTGCAGTTAAAACAAACGCGAAACCTGCATGGGGAGGAGTTGGAGTAGAGCAACGAAAGGTTGATATTGTAAATAAAGACCTAAGTTTTTTTTCACGCGGCCCGGTGTTATTTATCATATTCTGCGAATCTCAATTTCTGTTTTCGGTTCGTTTCCTCACACCCATCATCCACGAAGCTCTTCTAACTTTTGCTTGTGTATTCCACTCTTGATTGAGAATTGTCGCCATCTTTATGAATATCGCTAGATGATGGTTGAGTTGATTGTCCTTGAAATTCTGCGACACTTTTCTTAGGGTATTCCCACGTGTATTGAGGGAGTGAGATAATCCCAAACAAATATGGTACTTGTTTTCCGACCCCGGCATAGGGGACTTGGTGGACCCTGGTCGACATGTTTATTAGCTACAAATAGTATCTATATCGTAGTTCACTTTAGGCTTCGAGTTCTCCGTTGTGGGACGGTCCATCGCTGCAAGCTGCCAATAAAGTTCCGACTACTCCTAGGAAGGCCACAACAGCTCCAGAGAAACACAACGATAAATCATCTTCATCGAAGACTAGCGCAAATCTACTAGCGAGTGAGAAAGTCAGTTTTCATATTCGTTTAATGGTATATTTTTTAAACAATTTATGTATTTGGAAATTTGAGAATTAAAGATTTGTGCTTTAGGTCCTTCTGGACTTAGTATGGACATTGTTGTTTTAGCATAATCTCGCACATTAGAATGTGTCTTAAAAAGTGAACGCAGTTCAGTTTCTAATCCAATTTTAGTCATTACAGCGCCGCTTTTCTTTTGTGTGGAACTTTTGGTAGCATAAATTATGATGTTTAGGCTGCAAAGCGAGCGCTCGGAATGTGCGAAGATAACACTGCTTTCATAGATTGGGTAGTACAGCGCTTGAAGCAACTCAGTTCAACTGTTGAGGCAGATGTCCTTGCTATGTTTATTGAGGGAATTGAAAATCCTGACGAGGTGTGCCTTTTTTTTTGCTTTTTAAAATATTTGCTGTGGAGATTGATGAGTTGTGCTCTTCCCTTCTGTAATTGTCATCTTCAGTCACCGTTCCACTCATTAATTAAAGGGTTTAGCTGTTGTTTAGGTGGAGGATTATGTAATGGGGTATCTGGGAGATTCCAAAACTGTAAAGGAATTTGTGCGAGAATTTTTACAAAAAAGAAGCGATTTCCGTAATCGAGGTCAACACGCGGTAAAAGATGTAAGCTCGATCATATTCTGCTTCAATTATTTTTATCCCAAATACAGCAGTAAAGTTCAATGAAGTATTCTGTAGGATCTCTCATGTGCTCGTGGAGCACCAGTGTCGGGTAATGGTTCAGGTTTTTCTGTCGTCCAAGGCAGGAAGAAAAAAAACAAGGTGCGAGTCTAAAACCAACATAGTGCACAATTTGTTCTTCATCGAGGATTTTATGCATTTTTATAGGGTGCCCGTCTCATTGTTGATGGCTCATGTTTGGGTTTCCGTGCCACATCAGATCCAAATCGGGTTAATCAAGGTGAAATAGAGACCGTAGCACTTAGCCCTGGACAGAAAAGATAAATATATTTCCGGCTTCACTGTTAATTTTGTTTTGGTGTTTAGAAGACTTTAAATAAAAGGAAGAATTGGTGTTACTGTTACCATCGCAATCCTTTTTTCTGTTTTTATTCCCTTCTTTGCTTGACTTCTTATTGGATATCTGTGTGATACAAATTTATTGTATTTGTTCTCAGTATCGTCCTGGAGCTATCATGCTAGTGTGTTAGAAGTTCCCCTTGTCAGTAGTAGAATTGCTGTACTAATATGATGGTGCTTCTTTTTTGTTTGCTTTGGAAGTTCTTTGGGTTCTCACGATTTCTTGGTGTTTACCTTTTCAGGATTTCTTGGATTTTTCTCTTTGATTCCAGAAGACGAGTTCTGTGTTGCATTTTGCTCAGATTCATTATCTGCTCTTGTCCGTTACTTCATTTATTACCGGGCGTTCTTATGTGTGTTCTTAGTCGATCAACCAGCCTTATCCAGTCGGTGTTTCAATTACCCTACACCACACTGCCAGTTCTTTTCTTTTTTGTGCTAGTCGGAATCTTCGTCTCGGCGACGTTTTGCTTTTGGTTGTTTCCGTTGTTCACTAGCTCTAACAAGCGTGGTCAATATGCCGAAAAGGACTTCTGTGGGTTTCTTAAAAGTTAGGAGTGCTTAACCTGAGAATAATTTCCATTGACAGGTATTTGTACGCTCTGCTCAGGTACGTGACCCGTGTTCCTTATGTTGACCGCGGTTAAAATGGTTTTTGTATAACCATGCAGGTATTTCTTGTTCCTGTGTGGGATTTGTATTATCATTATTGTGATCCACATAAAATGCTTTAAGAACGGTAATGGATGTAGAGTGACTGGAAGGGTATTCATGTAAAGGATGAAAAAGGATGGGGCTCTCGGCGTTGAACAATCCGAGTGGAAGCGCCATGCATTCAACTTCATTAAGCATTGTTTAGAGGTGATTGAATACAAATCTGGCTTGACTTGCGGTGACCGAACGATGTACCAAGTCAGTGCCGATCCATAAGGGTGGATTTCATTTCATGTCCGGATGACGGCTAGACAGCACTGCGAAAGATAGGGACGGGACATAAGGACGATGCCATCATCTAGGATGTGATAAAGGTGCTATAGATCTTGTGCGCAAATGAGATCATGATGACACGACGAGGAAACTGATTCACTGATGTCATACATTCATATATATATATATATATATATATATATAGAGAGAGAGAGAGAGAGAACGGTTGAGAGAAAGTCGAAACAAAAAGTCCACAGTGGTGTGGTGGTGAATACGTTAGCTCGTGAAAAAGTTAATAGCGGGGTGCTATCCCCGCCGCAGACACCTGCGGCCCAACGTTTTGCAAATATCTCACCCTCATTGTAGTTGTATATGTATATTTCAGCTTCTTCCCGTATATATTCGTGTACATTCGGCTTCAGCTAGAGAATTTTCATTTCCTCATCAATGACGTTGAGTGCTGCTCGAGCACGATTCTTCATTGAATTCTCGACTTCATCAGACTTTCTGATGGCGGATTTGGTTCGCTGAGCGCATAGGGTCGATTAAACTACGTTTGAACCGTGGGGCACTTTGTACATATGTACGTTATATATATATATATGTATATATATACATATATATATATATATTTCTGGAGAGTATGCGTCGATTTCAATCTATTTGCTTTCCAACTGTTTCTTTTATGTCACAGGTTCTTTTCGTTTACTTTTTGCATGCAGTCAATAGTCTTGCATTTTTGCCGATGGACGTTCATGGATGGTGAGTCGGCTTGTCAGGCAGCGAGTCAACCCTATACAAATTCATCGGTGCATTAGCTGTTTTCTTTTATCCAGCAAAGGGTCCATGGGTCTCATCGCTAGCAACTCACCTACACCACCGAGAGATGTCCTTTCCGGCATGCATCTTTGTGCTTGCTTGTGTATCCTGCTTTTACACATTTCGAATTATTTTATGTTACAGTTGGGCATCGTATGTTGAAAAAAATTTTTGGAAGTGGCGACTAGGCACTTATTGCCAGCCGTGTACATCTCGTTAAAATTTCTGCTGTGAAACAAAAGAAGTATGTAACGTATGTATGTATATAACGGTCGTATATAATGTTTCTTCTCCATTATGCGTTGTGTTACCTATTTGATGGATATTTACTAGTAGTCCAGTAAGACCCTTTCCATTAAGCCGAGCTGCAATCCCAACAATCCCTGAGAAGCGACATTCTAATGATTCCCATCTGAAGGCTAAGACCGATGAATATTGTCGTTTGGTTATGGTTTTCTGACTTTGTCTTTCCCTTCTCCCTATCTGTTGGTTTCGCTCATCAACAGATCACAGATATCAACCATAAGTAGTTCGTGAAGCTATCAGTTCTGTTTATCTATCTGAATAGAATCCGTCGATGTCCTCTAGAATGATTGTTGTCAAAAATCCAAAGGTTATGAATCTCTACATTCTTCGATCACGCAACGCTAACTATTGTCATCACCTTCATTCCCATTTTACAGCTCACTTTCTTTGGATTCTTCAGGAAGGAAAGGAAATTCCTCATTGTGCTCAAGATCCTCTTGTTGACACCTATGAGCGTTCAGTTGAAAATAAAATTCAATTTTTCATCTGTCGGCATTATATAAACCATAGAAATCTTTGAGTATTAGCTGTTGTTTCCTTTACAGTTGTCATAATAAGTAGCGATTTGCAGTATATAAGTCGGGGAAGGGTGAGTGTGGCGCAGTGGTCGGTGGCGCCCTGCAATACACATGGGATCGATCCCCACTCTCCTGGCCCACCAAGCGAGCATTCTATCCCTCCTGGGTCGGCAAATTGGTACTAGACTTGTCTGGGAGGATAGTGGCACTGGCCCAATACATCGGAAGGCCACCGCGAGTCATTCATTATAAAGACCAGATATGCACACAATCGCCTCCAACGATGCTTAATGAAGTCGAATGCATGGCGCATCCTTCGGGGATTGAGCAACGCCGAGAGCTTTATCCTTCTTATTTTTTTAAGTCTGCAACACAGCAAGCATAAAATAGTATAATATGCTTAAGTTTTGCGAGGTCGAGCTTACTACATTGCGATTCTTCATATAGCTACTTCAGAACCACAATCTCGTCTTTCTACAACAACGTTATCAATCATTTAAAGAGATGTTCAGCATGGCGATAAAATCTCGTCGAAATTATTTACAGCCACTCACGAGAACGTCGTGCCAAAACTAGAATGAGAGACGAAGGGGAGTAGAAGTTGATGATGACTTTGGTTTTAGAACATCAAGACGTCAAAACACTAATCGGACGGAGCGAAAGCTTGTCGATTTGAACAATTTTTGTGGAAGGATTGCACTTCTATTTAATATCAAGAGGAAGATGTTCATGAAAAATTGATTTGTTTCTGATGCCCTATTCGCGCTAAGCTAAAATAACATTCCGCATGCTTTAGTTATGTACTAATAAATGTACATATCGAGAAGTCAGCGAGATGAACAACTTGTCTCCGTTGCTGGACAGTGACATTGATTTAGAGAACTTCAAACAGCATCAAAGATGTGGCGATGAGGACAGGAGTGTTCAGCCCTATGTCCGCCTTCTCCATTCTGCAATTCTGTTTACCTTGAAGTATGCCTTAAAAACTTGGATGGTACACATGCAGCATGAAAGATCAATCAGCGTTATCAAACGCACTGTGAAAATGATGCTAGATGAATCACGTGTGAGGAATCGAGAGAGTAATTCCGACGTTCTGACTTATGCCAATGAGCAAGGAGCGAAAAATAGTGCCGCGTTTTGTTGAAATGTTGAAAATCAGATGAGTCGAACAAATGATGCATCCTAACGGCAACCGGCAGGCAAGGATGGCTACTGAGGCCCTCGGGATATTAAATACAACAAGAAAACCGCTGACATGATAGTCAGACTTTTTCTTAAAGATCTTGAAACAAAAGTATGGAGAAACTTGGAGCGAAAACCCACTTTACGGGAAGTAGGTGCAAATTGAAGCCTCATCGTAACTATCAAGCCATTTTACGAAAAGTGGTGGATAGATGATGCAAGTGAAGCTCTAAAAATGAGTGACTGTGGTGTAGAGCTCCATGGTTGGATGGAAGATTACTGTTTTCAATACACAAAGAAGATAGAAGTGTTTACTAAATTACTAACGAGAAAAAGGAAGAATATAGAGGACACGTAGGATATTTTTAAACAGGATTAAGTGAAAAACCCCATCTTTATCACCTGTCTGGCTGGGAGAGTTACAGTTAAAAATGCGGGCATGGAACTGGGAAGCCTTTGTTCTCATCACTACATCCTCAACGTTAAATTCTACAGTTACCTCGTTTCCAAATGCTCAGCAATCTTGATAAAGCGCTCATCGACTCGATCTTAAGCCTAATTTACATACAGCTAGAGCATTTCTTCTCGTTTAGCACGACAAGAGTATCGGAAACGGATCCATTTCATAAGAACGTCGTTGTTTTAAGATTTGAGAGAAGACCAACTTTTTCAAAAGCTTTCTCGAAAAACTATTTCGTTATGGTACGCTCCTTTGAAATTATTCACACGTCCAGTATTTGTATAAGGACCTCTGGAATTGTGGGTTGTAGAGTGCTCACCTCGTTCAGTGCAATCCAGTGCTCGGGTCGCGATGTGCTACTTTTCAGGCGTTCTCTTAATGCAAACATTGGCCTCGAACTTTTAAGACAGTGCATAAGGTTTAATCCTTTGCGTTGTCTTCGTCTAAATCCATGCAAATTACCTCTTCGTCATACGTTGGTTTCGAGATGTTAACCACTGAGACTATCAGAGCAGGCATTGGTGCAATTTTTTTCATCAGTGATCGTTTGATTAGAGGCGCAACTTGTTTAAAAAGACCGACGTTTATGACCAGGCATATATTTACGCCACGAACATTGCCAGTTCCTTTATTCTGCATGTTCCGACGAACACTCCTCCACTACCACAAAGAAGGCATTTAATGAGCTATGCTTTCTGATCTAGATCATT